GGGGAGGGGAGGGGAGGGTTTACAGTCCCCACCTTATCGGCTAGCCTAGAATTCTGAAGTGTACTGGTTCTTGCAAAACAGGATCAGATCTGAAATTCCTAAGGGCTACTTGCTTATCTACAGCTTCCTTCAATCAGAGGGTAAGTCAGAAGTTTGTTTTCCTATGTGGAAGCAGACACCTCCATTGGCCCTATCAGTTTCAACAGGACACTCAAGAGCATGTGTTTGCCATTCAAAGTGGCTGTGATAATATACTTATAGATCAGTAAGTCATTAAAAACACTCACTTTTTAGTTGTTCCATTTCCAATGCCCAAATCTGTTACAAAACAAGAAAATCATTGGAAGTAACTCATTTGTTAAAAAACAGCAAGCAAAGAAGATTTTAAAAGTTGGCATGTTAATGTATCTAGTAAAAATACTTACTGCCCACAAGATTGGCTAAAGATGAATCCAGATCATCCAGTACTAACTTGTTAGGTGGTGCTTTGGAAACTGGAAGACTCTGATTCTGAGAAGCCACTGTTGGTTTTAGGAGTCCACCTAATTCATCAAACCCTTTAAAAAACACCAAGGAATATTAAGAGCAAAGGAACTCTTTTCAGCATAATTTTAAAATCTGTATTTTACTATTCTAAGTGTGTTAAAGCTGAAAGTGCCTTAGAAGAAATTTTCCGCTAGGTTTTTAGGTCAAAAGAAATTTTAAAAAGTTAAAATGGAGCATGTGCATATGCACACACACACACACACACTACAGTGAAGGGATGGAAGTTCTATGCTCTCTCAGACTGCAGGATCCAAAGCAGCAGAGAACTAGTCTGCTGCTGCGGCAAAAATTCTTGTGGGATGTTACAAATTTATTGCAACGTAAGCTCCCACAGTCTAAGAGCCACTTCAACAGAGTATGAAAAGGCTTCAGCATTTGATAAAGTGGGCCACAAAAGCTTGTTCCAGAAGGAATCTGTTAGTATTTAGTACGTCAGAGCATTCAAAGAGCTACCCAGTGAGATGTTTAAAGTCTCTGAATCTTATTAAAGAATGGTTATTTAAAATACCTACCCCCAGAATCCACTGGGACATTTGAAGTTTTGTTTCCAAACACAGACTCAAAGTCAACATTAAGGCCTGCTGAGGGCTGTGATGGAGCAACAGGAGATGGTGTGAACCCTACAGAAAAACATTTAAAGAACATTAAACTTGTTCATATGCAGTATATGTGAACTCTCAATTTCTTTGCAAGGAGTAATTTTACAGCCATAAAGGATTATGCTCATTCTAACATTGGAAGTGATGTCTGCAGGAACTGCATAGCTTGGTGACCTGAGAGGAAAGTCCATGATGCAAAAACAATACATTTACATGTTGCATATAGAACCGGTGTCATGGACGGAATAGGCATAAACGAGGGTGGTAACCATCATGATTAGGGACCATTCTGCCACCTGGTCTCCATCTGGTCCACTAGCATTCTCTAGTTGACCATACTCTCTCCTCCCTGGCCGCAGCCCCTTTTGCACCAACTACTAATTGTCGGGCAACTTCCTAAGCTTTCATGAACCTTCCCTCTCCCCACTAATTCCGAAAAGTTGTAACACCTCTCTTAAGGCTTAGTTATGGGCAGTAAGAACTTTAAGCCACAGTACTCTGGTATTTTGGCTTCAGCCTCCTGGCCTTTGGTCACACACACAAACTAGAATGTAGCTTTCAAGAGCTTCTGAGAAGCTCATTTCAGCCCTTGGGAAAGCAAGCAAAATGACCACAAATAACACACCCAATATATAAAATCAATAGATTTATAAAATTTGAATTTCTAAAAGATTTTCAAGATTTCATAGATTTAAATTTAGTTTTTAAAAAAACTTTAAATATATATAAGGACATATTATGATATGAAACATTTTCGTGTGAAATACCACCTTCAGTCACTAAAGACCTGAAAGAAGCTACCTGTCCTGGCACATGCAGTCCCTGTACATGCAAGGTTCTACACAATATGTTTCTCATTTCCAGTCTTTAATATACGTTTAATATAGAAAAGGCAAAATTATTCAAAACAGCATGGCAATTACTCTATCTTGATACTGCTATACTATCTAAGAACAGATTTCTAGCTTCTTGTTGCAATCTATTAGCTGCAGAAAGTAGGTTCTAAAGAAGTATTCCAAATTACAGAATGGTGCTCCTGACTTTCTTCTCTCCACCAATCCTCATCCCTGACAAATTCAGCAATTCCTTGGAATATGAATTGCTATACCACAAACCTATCAGTGAGATTTAGGACCAAAGTAGACCACATCTACTTTTAATCTTGAGCTTCTGAATTAACTGCCCATAAACACACACCAGCTATGAGCCAAGAGCATGTTTTAAACTCTATATACACCTGACACCAATTATATGCAACCTACAGCTGCTTATACAACCTACATTTTGCCTTTTACAAAACCAAGCCTCTTGATAAAAATGTACAGATTTTTTTAGAGAAATCCGTATGCCATCAGTGGGAATACATGTATGTCTATGGCCACCAGTGTCATGACTGAATGTGTAGGGAACGACAACACATCATTCATGTGAAATACAAGAGCTAACAGTTTCCTGAGGCAGAGAGTTAAAGCAATACACACAGTGCTTTTCCTTTTATTGAAAATGGCAAGCGCATTGCATAGTCTAGAAGTAATCCCTGATCAAATAAGTCTGATGCAGCAGTGAAAATGGAACAATTGGTATTAGGAATGGTAAGAAAAAGGACTGAACCAGAAAAGGCAAATATAATTGTGGTGTGTAAACACACTGACTTCCCACATCTAGCAGAGTGCATGTCACTCCAGGTGCCTCCTCTTTTCTTTTTTGGTAGTGTTGAAGATAGTACAGAAAATGGTACTAAAAGTATTAGAGGCTGAAGCATCTTTCCTACAACGAGAAACTGAAAAACAGGAGCCATTTTTCAGAAAGAAGAGCAAAGAGGCAGGACTGAAGTTTATGAACTCCATATTCTAAGAGAATACTAAAAGTTAAATATTAGAGTCTGGCAATTATCCTGTGAAACATGTTGACAGTAGTTTCAGGACCAAAGGAAGTACTTCACACAAAGTGTAATATAGTTTGGTACCACAAGAGATTTTAGTGGTCACCAGAACACAGGCTCCTGGCATCTGCTGAAACTGAAACTGACAAATGTACTGAACATTAATAAAATACAGCATTATGCTGCTGCCTGCCAGATGTTATGAACAAACAGGGATGGCCACCTCCATCACATCCTGCTTGTGAACATCCCGAGACAGACCAGACAGCCCTTTTATCAGATCAAAGGCATTCTTATGTTCTCAACACTGAATCACTAGCATTCTGGTAGCTACTTCCAAACAGCTGCATGGCCACTATTTCAAGTGGACGTGCTATGCTAAGCAGTTTCCCACACCATTAACCACTCTGAGCAAGGGCAATACATGTGCACACATGCTCATGCAGAAAGACCGCAGAAAGACTGAGCCCAGTACAGAAATTAGGCCCAAATGAAAGTGCTTTGTGGTTTCTGTACCTTGTTAAGTAGTTGTATAATAAAACAACAAATTCATGTATTAGCTGTAGAGATCCTTGTTCAGAGCATTTTAGAACTGAGCTTTTTGGTGTGATCTGTCTTTCTACCTGCACTGTGCATTCCTGAAGGGAATGGCTTCTGCACAGTTCCTCTTTAACTTCTATAGAATTGTGCTTTCAGGAGTCCTGTCCAAGCCTCATGGCTGTGGTCTTGAAGGTTCCCTTTCACAACTGTGTGACCCATGGGAGGACACTCCCACCACCACCCAGTACAAGGACACTCTCTGCCTGCTTTTGTCTGGACAAATGCTATCTTCCTTGATTTCTGCCTCTGCTCTGAAGCGTTACTTAGCAAGCTTGCTGAAAGCACTCAGACTCAAAGCACTTGTGGGAAACGGAGTTCCCGGAGGCAGATGATGTAGCTCATGATTGTTCAGCCAACAACCCCCGCTATGGTATTTGCCCCATACCAGCACTGGCCATGTCACTACTGGCAAAGGATTTATCGCTGCTTCTGCAGTGCCTGTGGCTCACCTTCTGATGGTGCCCTGGGGGAGATTTTCAGTCCCTGCTCCATTTCAGTTCTACTGCATTCTTGGGTACCTTGGTGGGCTCTTATTTGATCTGTACCCCATTTTTCTCTTTTCTGAAGAACCCAAATGGGCTTACATCAGTCTCCTCTTCCTGCTCTCAGTTTTATTCCCGCAACAACAACCCTGTGAGGTAGGATGGGCCGAGAGACTGGGACTGGCCCAAGGTCACCCAGTTTGCTCCATGGCAGAATGGGGACTAGAACCCAGATTGCCTGAGTCCCAGTCCCATGTCCTTCACCGCGCCACATTGGCTCTCCAATGTGCAACCCAACTCAGTCACTCTCAGCTTGATCTACTTCACAGGGTTGTTGTTAGAATAAAATGGAGTAGAGAACAACAGTGCAAGCTCTCTTGGGGTCCTCACAAGAGGAAAAAAGGCAGGGTATCAATGCAATGCAGTCTAATAATACAAATATAATAAATCTAAAACATGTTTTCAAGATGAAAACTAAAGCAGCAGCTTTTAAGTTACTTATTAGGGAAGGACAGATAAGCTAATCACCCCATCCTACAGGCTTTAGAAGAGCGTGATCGACAACCACTTATGACCAAAACGTGAAATATTAACAGTGAGAAAGCCAATTTTTAAAAATCAGTATTTGCAAACCTTCAGGGCAAGGCCATGTTAAAAAAAACCAAAACCAAAACAAAACCTTGAACTTATTTTGAGGTTTTAAATAGGTTTTTTTTTTTTAATGTGGACTGGTGACGGGAAACTCAAGCAATCCTACAACATGCTTCCAAACCTTAATTCTGGTAACCAGATCAGAGATTTTTTTTTTCTTCAGAGACTCAGTTCTACCCACATGCTTTCAGAAGGTGGTGCTAACCAATTAGGATTTCTGGAATTGACATGAACGCAACTCTGCAGGATGAACTGAAGAGCCTGGGGCTTGAAAAGGTTCTACCTACCTCCAAATAGACCAGCTACAGCTGAGGACTCACTGCGGAAATGGGAAGCATTAGAGTAAGCTTGCGGACCACAAAAAGAATCTAATAAAGGCATATGAAGCAGAAGAGCAAAGAAGGAATGTTACAGAAAGAAAGAAACAGGACATACTCTATTTACTTAACCAAATCTTTGGGTGCTAAGTTAGAACTACGTTTATGTGACTTCTAACACAGACAGACATACACACAGGCAATCTTGTAACAATTTCTAAAAAGGGTAATAAATGTTATACTATTCAAATACAGTAAGGTACAGCAAATGCCACATTTTACACTTCTGAAGGCACAAGGAAGTGTAAAACCCTTAAGGCATGTATATTATACCTGAAGTAAAGTGACAGAGCTGAACAGTGGATGAATATTTGGTTGTCACAAAGGGATTTGATTCAATAAATGGGTTGAAGTGATCTAGAGAACCAGAAAGAGTTTATTATTTAAATTAAGTTAAATTTAAATCATATGCATGATGGGGCAATCTTGGAATCTGGGCTTCTGAGAACAGACTTGTCACTTCACATCTAGCCTGGAATTTGAATCCTAATTGTAGGGAGATCTGTGTACTGACAACTGGACAGACCGACTACCCTTACGGGCTGTGTGTAACCCATAACAACTCGCTGTGCGGCTTGTTCAGTGCCTCCCTAACATGATTCATTTAGATGAGCACTGCTGTGGCTGACATAAATACAGAGAAAGTTTGTCCAGGTTCAGGGCAAAACCACCCCAAGTATAGTAATCACTCAGATTACCTGTCAAATAGTAGGGATACCGATGAGTCTGGGATGGCAAGGAAGGCAAAGCTCCCCCTCTCTTTCCCACACCTCTGCACTGGTTGCTGTAGATCAACTGGATAGTGACCAACATCTGGCTACAGACTAAACGAGACCTTGCCTTTACATAAAGGCTCATCAGGGTTTCCCCCTTCTACTTCTGAAAATCCTAAGTTTGCCTAAGGCAGCCAGGTAAAATTAGAGAAAGGGAGAAGCCAATCAGACACTACTTTACCAACAAACATCTCATGAGTTGGTGTCCTAGAAGTGAAAGTGGGTAGTACATCAGAGGAGACAGAAAGATGATCGCTAGATTTTGTGAGGAAAGGGTTTAGGCTTGGAATGGCATCATCAACAGCATCAGCAGTAGAAGTGAAAGGATCTGTGTGGCCCAGGCAGAGTAAGAAAAAGGAGGGGGGAATAAAGTTAGCTGTACATTAGTAATCAGTGACAGCATAAGCAAAACAAGAAGTTCATTTTGTTTAATATTATCAGTTTCCACCCTAAGCACATACTATACTTTCTTTACAGATAAGGAAAGGTTAATCTAATCTAAATAGATAGTAGGCAAGTACTAACTGGCATTCTCTAGGTTACAAAGTTACAGATACTTCCTGAAAAGGATCTCATCTCAATAGCAATCTCTAGAAGACAGAATCAGCTTAAAACATTCCAGAGAACAGCTTTGATACAGAACAATCTGCTCAACACAGTCTCCTCCCTGCCCAGCTTCAAAACTTCATTTAAATCCTCTGCTATGCTAATACGCTTTTATTACTTTCTCATCTCCCAACTTGTTTGTCGCAATAAGTTGTATAAAACACTAAAGGTGTTTCCTTGCTACTGTTTTAAAACATGCTGTAAATTTAATCTACAGACTTAGAGAGATCATATTTAGGATCTAGCTAAAGAACTGTTTCTGCCAGGGTTGCTATAACATTAGAATCCCAGTGGGAGCTGGGAAAAGGTGCTTCAAGGATGGGATACATGGAATTCCAGTAGAGTTGGCAGAAGACGGCAGCATTCAAGTTACTGCCTTGGGCGTACCCCCAGTATAGGTTGATCCAGTTATAGTCTTCAGCTGCACTTGGATTAGAAATCAGCAACATCGGGACTGCGACAGTCTTCACAGGTTTGTATTTGTTAAGCATGCTGTAGTAATGTACCTAATAAACTTGACCCTTTTGTGCAGAAGCACGATGCTTTGTAGGCATCCATTCTCAATGCTACTGTCAGCAGCTATTCTATGTTACATTGATTGTAATCAAAGAAGACTTCCCTGACACTTTAGCAAGCTTATTGTGACGGTGTTTGAGAACGAGTGCCTCCTTTATCAGATCCCTGACGGGGTTTCCCGAGTCTCTGTCTGCAGAACACCCTTTGTATTAGATGTGACCATGTCTCAATTCATGGATTCATTATTGCATTCTCCTCTGAGCATACGAACATTCAAGCTATGCTGGCTGGAGGTGCTGGGAATTACAGGGCTTATATTTAAAACCGCATGGAACTGTACCCTTAGCTGCCCATACAGCACTTAACCGGGAGCCCTGAAGCAGTAATAACTACTATAAATCAGCACATCAAGAGCTCAGTCACAGCCTCACAGACTTCTTCTCTGGAACGCTACAACTCATTATATCCCTCAACTGTTTTATCCTGTATGGACCAAGGTGTAAGCCAGGGGTTCTTTAAATCCTCCCTTCTTCCATGTGAGCAGCAGCAATGATGTTGGTGTTTCAGTGATTGGTAGAAGGACCAGCCAAGCTGCACAGGGAAAGCCTCTTGCTGTTCATCAGGGGATTCTCTCTGCAGTTCCTGCTCACAAAGGAGCCTAATTTTGACGACCCTTGCTCAATTCAGCATATAGCCCATGTTAAAAAACTACTTGCCAACTATAGCTGTAGGGGGTTCATTTAAGTAAAACAAGTTTCTCAAATGCCAAGGTGAAAACGGAAACATAGTTCACTGTGTTCTAAGAGAAGTTCCTTCAGTGGCAAGATCATGATCTTCATAAGATTTTACTCCAGTTTATCAATAATTTTAGCAATAATAACTTTGGCAAGGATACAGCATTAGCTACAAGAATTAAATCTGGTACTTCTCCTCCAACCATCATATGCAAGTACAAGTAGCTACCATAAAAACATGCTTGCCCTCATGACTGATCCTTTTCTAGCCTGCAAGGTAGCTTGCAGCTTGAGCACACAATTGCAAACTGCAGTGTCTCTGGATGCCACCCTGAAAATTAAAGCTGACACTGCAGCTTGTTGTGCTGTCTGAACCTGACAGTGGTGGGTTGTGTGAGGGTTAAAGAACCATCACATGACCCTAGCACAGATGATGGGTTCTTCGTTATTTAATCCTGACAGAATTCCTCCTTGCTGAATCTGGATGACACAAGTTGCAGCTGTAGCTGGAATACTCAAGATGTCCACCTGCACGCACTGCAGTCCACCATGGCATAAATAAGCTGCAACAAGTTGTTGCAATTGTGTCAACCAAATGCTTCTCGAAAGCTACACAGTATCTTGTAGGCTTGTAAAGTAGACAGCCAAAATGGTAGCCATGCCTATAAGATACCTGTTTGTATCTGTGTACAATAGTTGGGGTAGAAGGAAATAAGCCATGGCAGGCTGTCTGCTCATGTGGACATGTCCACAGATAAGGGGCCTATAAGAGCGAACATGACATACCAAGGATTAAAAACAAAAGTGGTCCAAATGAGTGCATTACTATATATAACGGAAAGATGACAACTGTATTACTGAATGAATGTGCAATTCAAGAGGAAACTAAGGCCTCTTGCGAGCAGTTCCATTCTTATGCGAAAGCCTCTCTCTAACCTGTTACCAGCCCTTCTCCATACTGTCCAAAATGAAATCCTGTTATTTTCCAATGTGAATTGTACTGTACACCTCCACCTGGAGCGGTGGTCATAAGGTCAATTAGCTGCTGAGGGTAAGACTCCCTAAGGGTCTTCTGAATTAAATTTAAAAGGTTAGGTGTCGAACAATGTTCTTGAAATTAGTTAATATGTTAATTACCACTAAAATCTTTATGGTTTTCTATTGGAAAACTTGATTTACTACACATTGTACAGAAAGATTAAATATGCAAAGAAAATTCTGAGAACTGAAAAAAGTTCATTTTTCCTTTAGAATCATAAGTGTAGAGATAATAAGTGAATTATAAAGGAATAAGGACAGAATTTATTATAAAACATTTAAATAATATCTTTTAACTTCATATAACAGAACATGCATAGCCTCTCAATATAGAGAGGCAGCAAGAAAAGAAAGGGCTCTTTGATAGAAATATTCATTGAACAGAAAGTGTCTGCTGCTTAAACACATTTTTTTTCATTCCGTCCCAGTTGAGAAAACCTGCCAGACCTCCTCTAACTTCTTCAAAGTCTAAGTTCCATGAAAGAAGCAGGGAGCATACTAGCTTGGTGATGAGCAAGGGCCCTTTGACAGCTCTTAGAAGACAGAAATTTGACAGGGAAAAAAATCTATGCTTTCTCTTCTCTGCTCATCCTTTAAGTTATCACATTCATAGTCTTGCATAGCGAAAAGCAGCAAAGACACTCCTCTTGCAAAAAAGATCAGCACCAGTGCAGCATATCATTTCAAGCACCAGTTATGTTTTTAATACTTGAACACTGGCTAAGCTACACCACATCGAGGGAGAGGGGTTGCAGACATCCCTATTTGCTTCGGTTGGCTTACTCTGCTCACTACAAGTCAGGTGAGGGAGAGATTAGCACTTTCCTGGACAAGCACAAATTTTAATTTCTCTGTTCTGGAATTGGACGTACAAGTCAGTATACTTCATCAGGCAAATTTAAGCCCACTGAATTCAAACTGGCTCCATGACACAGCTAACTCCATTTTCAACTATGACTGAAAATCATTATTGAACACTTCCTTTCCTATAGCCTTGGCGGGGAAAGAGAAGCCCCATTAAAATATATTCAATTGCTTAGATTCTCCCAGGACAGAGCATAAACTTTTCAATTGCAGCTTTTTACTTGGCAGTAACCTTCCAGATAGTTTCCCACTTATTTTTAATGTTTTCATCAGTGCTAAGCAAGGACTGCATATTGTTTATGTTTTAGTATTTTAACAGACCTAGACAGTCGGTTATTATTGTTCTTGAAATGCTGTAAGATACTGAAAATGATTTTTTTCTGTTAAAAAGCACAGAAAGCTAGTAAACCACTGAAACATCAACATTTCAGTTTGCCCTTCATTCTCCACATGCAGCTACAGAGAATGACCACAGCTTAGTTGTAGAGCTCTGCATTTATTGCCAGATATGGCTGGGAAAGCCCCAGGTCTGAAACCCTGGAGAGCCACTGACAGTCAGATTGAACATCACTGAGGTAGGTGGACCAATGTTCTAACTTAAGAATGCATAACGAATTAGGGTGCACCACCTTCTGAGGTACACTTAAGCCTCTGGCACTGGTCAGATAATCCTCTAAAACACAGTGTGAATCACTAGAAAAAGCTGTAGCTTTCCTCCTCTGTTGCGGCTTTGTTTTTCATTTTCAGTTTTACACAGGCAAGCTATTCTGCCACCATACTGAAATACTATTCTGTGCTTTCCAGTTATTGTTCAGAGAACAAAGGAATACATTTTTTTTCTGCCACACAGCAGTATTCAAGGCTCACAAGAGAATAAAATAATTACCAACAAAGATCAACTATGGTTAGTGTTAAATTGAACAGTAACAGAAAAGCTACACTGACAACCATGATTTGATGAATTATCTGATCCAGACACTGAGCAAAGTCTGATTAATTGCAGTGAGAAAGTACTGCTGAGATTGTAAAACTGTATTATTGGTGAGAGCGGCTATGCAATGACCACAACTGGGATATAACAGTTTCTTACCTCCCCAGGTTCCTCCTACTTGAGGAGCAGAGGATATAGGATGCACAGCCGGATGAAAGGTTGGCTGCAAATCAAGCAGGTCATTTGGCAGCTTTGACGTGCTACAGGAACAGATGAGGGCAACCATTAGTGAATTAAGCAATGATGTCATGCTTCTGTTAGACTGGCCAAACTGTATGAGACTACTATGGACAGAGAAATGCAAGCAGAGCCACCGGGCACTGATTTCAACTTCACGGGAATCCCAAAATGTGAAGAAATACTTTATTCCCCGGAACAGTATACCACCCAATTGTGCATTACAAAACTGCTTCCAGAAGGTCCCTCAGTGCCAGAACTTTCTATATGTTACTGAAGGGAAGTTAGAGAAACAGAAACACTCCTTGGGTTCGAGCTATCATTTCATTTTAATTTGTTACCAAAAATGTTTCTCAACCATTGTAGCAGCAAATACAACACTTTTAAACGATGTACACCGGGGATAAAGTTTGCTGAAGCATTCAAACCGAGTAGCAGCGAGAGGTGGCATTTTTTCAGTGTTAAAATCCTGGTCATGGAACAAGCTCCTTAAAGGGACTCCACACAAACGACTTATTTCCCCAGGGTGTCTAATTTTAATGAGCAATATCAGAAGCTGCCATTCTGCTTATACCATTGACATAGTGTAACTCCTGTGCAACACCAACAGGCTATGCTGGTGTGATGGGCTTCCTTGCACAACCCATTACACCAGCACATGCTTTGCCACTGCACTAGGGGACACTTAACCTAGAGCTATTATCAATAGCCTAAGCAGAGCAACAGCACTGCATACTGCCCAACAGCTATATTCTGTTACTTTCCTGCATTGGATTTTATTTTCATATTGCATTTTGCATCTTACTTTGATTGACTTGTATGTTGCCTTAATATTTATTACTGGGTAAAAAATGGAGGCATACCTGTTTGAAGAACTAGGTGTGGAGAAAATATCAATGGCTGGTGTAGTTATTATGCTCCCTGCTGTATTAGATACAGGGGAGGAGGCTGTTGTTAAGGAGGTATGCGGTTTCTTTGCAAGTTCTTTTAGACGTTGCTCCTGTTGAGTAATGCAACTGGCATCAGATCCCCAGAAATAAGGTTTGCTCTTATAGCTAAGATGAAGTAGAACAAGCCCCTCAAGCAATGATGTCAGTGTAGATCTCAGTTAAAAACCATATGCAAAGATTTTTTTTTATTAACTCATCACCCTCAGCAGTATATAAGTGAGTCACACAAAATATATTTATACACAAACTGTGAAAGCGGTTGGATGCACTAAAGGAGAATGAGTATTGAGGAAGGTACTCTGTTGTTCATTTCACCCAGCAGTATTTACTAGCAGAGGCAAGCTCTCACATGTGATTATCATCTGCTCCCCAATCTCCTTTTCAATGGAAATGCCAGGGACTGAAACTGGGATGGCTCCACATGCTAAGAGGCTCTGTACTGAACCTGGTACTGAAAACCACCTGTACAAGTACAACTAACCATCAGGAAAAATTGAGATTTTCCTTTGCTGCACTCAAGACCAACCAGAGGCTTCCACCTTCTGCTCCTTCTGTATTCAGCCATGATTTCAGAGGTTTGAAAGAGTTATACAAAAGAAAACTGTCCTTTTGCTAAGCAATATTGGTTCTGGCAACACAGTAACGTTAGGATCTGCTTTCCATCACCTGTGAACATGATTTTCCCCCAGGAACACCAATGATAGCTAACAGTATCTATTCATTTATTCTGCCACCTCCTGCAAATAAGTTAAGCTAGTTTAAATAATTTTGATCCCCATTTTATCCTCATAACAAACCTGTGAAGTAGCTTAGGCTGAAGGACATGCTCAAAGTCATCCAGGAAGCTTCATGGATGAGGTGGACTAGAACTTGGACCTCTGGAGTCCCACTCTGACTACTATGTCTCAATGCCTCAATAGTCTAAATAACTTGTATTGTCTTCTTGAACCAAGACCTCACACTTAACAGAACTTTCAGTCTACAGGCCTAGAAACTAGGAATGCTGCGGTATTCATCACTCACAAGTGCCATCTGTACTCCAAATCTTGGGTGCTAGCTGACTCATTCCCCACCAATTATTCAAAAGAAATCTTGAAACAATCCAGCTTTGCCAGCTAGGCCCCAATGGGCTAGTTCAAATGATTGCCATGGTCCAGTTATTCAAGGTGATTTTAAGCCACAAGTTGTTATGCATGCCAGTCACCATTATGAATACTCAAACTGCTGTGGGCAGGTGCTGCAGCTTATAATGATGTGTAAATCAGGTGAAGGGTAGGCTGTTAACAAACCACCCACAACTCAAAATTAACCATGGATTCTGCATGGGTGGAAAATCCACAATGGTTGCCAGCATGCACCGCAACTTACTGACTGTGGCTTCGATACCATGGCAACTGTGTATACTCAGCACACTTCCCATGTTTAAACACTACGGAGCAGAAGACAGAAAAACACACAGATGTCAGACCGAAGCAAGAAAACCATGCGCACCTTTAAAGCTTTTAAACGCGCCTGCTCTTCCTCTAGTGCAGCTTGTTTTTCCCTTTCATCTACTTTGGTGAGTGACAGGCCGGTGCTTGCAAGGGAGGAGACTGCATTGGAAAGAGTGGTAGCCCTAGGGAAAGTTGACAGTAGGAAACCTGACAGTTACATAGATAACTTGATAATAAAAGATGTGCAACAATGCTTTCTTCCATTTTATTCAAAACTTTAAACATTCAGAACACATTTCTTTCATAAACTCTTGAATATAAGCTAGAAAGCAGTGTTTCTCTCATCTCTGAACAGGACAGAGATGCTACCACATCTTCCAGTGCTGCTTATGTTCTGGCTGTCCCTGTTCAGGATTGAGTTTATTAACAATGGAGCATGATCCACCAGCATGATTTTAAAACCAAGCTACTCCAAGGAGCAAGTCTCCTGGACTTCAGAGTGAAGCACAGCAAAATAATGTTAGCCACTAGTCTAGCATAGATTACATGGTGAGTTTTTAAAAATGCTTTTATTTAACCATGCTTCATTTGACTTAGTAGGTGCCAAGGCCTACAAGGGATATGCATTCACCTTCATGGTAAAGGTTGAGGATGAATGCCTTCCATTCGGGCTCCAGCAGTGATGAAGGCAAGGTGAGAGCACCATCCCCTGCAACTCTCTGGGGTTGGCCTGAGGTTATAGGCAGGCACAGCCTTCAATATGAGTTAGTATTGGACCAAAATAATCAGCTTCTATACATCTGGAACATTGCATGGCACAAAAATGCATTGATATTTGGTTAACTAACATGGTGACTGAAAGGCAGAAGCAGGATCAGCCAGCATTTGTTTCAGAACTGCATAAATTAGGCCCCTTCAACTTGGCAGATTAGGGCTCTTCAGCACTGAGACTATCTATTCAAAAAGTTCCAGCAAAGGCAGTCATGTTGACCATAAGAAAATGTGCAAAATCCATGTTGCTGCAATATTCTGATTAGGTCAAGCAAGAGGTCATCACAAAACAGTTGTGCCAACCTGAAAGCTCCGGATCTCTTCAGCAGGCAAGGCATTACAGAAGGAAGCCAGGGGTGCGAGGGAGAAAAAAAAATGACTAGATGGTCACAATGTCTGCCAGTGCTGACTCGTCCCAGGGTGACAGTGGGAGGAGCCTGCAGGTATTCAGATTATGCTCTGCTTCAGGTGGTATCAAAACCTCAACTGGAGATTTCTGCTGTGGAACATCTGAAGCCCCTCAAGATCCAAATATGCAAGCAGGTACTTGAAGTAGCTTCAAGCACTACCCATCATCCAGTACCAACCACGAAAAAGGATTAAAACATGCCTGCTTGCAGCAGTGGAGTCTTTGATTTTCTTTCCTTCTAACGAGGCTAAGTGCTGTTCCAATGCATCAAGGAGGCTGCTTGGTGCCTGCAAAACCAATCAGTAGCCTTTTAGATACTCAAGGCAAATAATGTAATGTTCCCAAGGCACCAGTTCCCATGATATGAGTTTACAACAGTCCAATGATAGGCAACTGAATAAAGCCAGCAGCTCTCAACTGCACTATCACCAAAAATGTGTTAAGTGCTGAGCATGGTATGTTAGGGTTCCATCGTTTCATTAAATGAGACTGCTCATTTGAGCTGCCATCAATGGAAAAAAGCACAAGGAAAAATGGCACATTTATGAATAATTACTCTATGTTCCAAAGTATACAACTTGAAAGCAGCTATTGCTTTAAGCCATATAAACATGCTAATGCACTATAAAGTTTTATCATCCTGAGATGGCATCTTGCAATCAGGTACAGATATCAACAAGCTTACTATAAGAATTGGGCTCCTTACAAGCGGAAGAAAAACTGGGCATAAACGTAATACAATAATTATAACATTACTAAAAACAAGAGGATGCAAATGCTTTAAATAAATAAATAAATAAATAAATAAATAAATAAATAAATAAATAAATGAGCCACTATCACAAAATTTCCACAGATTTCAAATTCAGGTGCCCACTGCCTTAAGGTATAATCCAACACCAAGGAACGTTAGGTGAAGGATGGATAGACCAGGAGGTGCAAACCTCATTTAAAAAATGAACTTCCATAGAAGAACATGGTTACAGTTCAAGGATTCACAATTACACCAGTGTCTCCTGATTATGAAAGCCCAAAAGAGACATGCATGACAAATGCATAAAATCATCTACCTGAGAAAGATCTGGTATGTCTCCTCTGTCTATCCCCACTTGCTGTAACAACAAATAGATTTAATAAGATATAGGCCTTAAGCATGTTTGGCTAAAGACAAGATGAAAAAAGCACATTGAAGGCAAGATCATGAAGGGAAGGATTATTCATGACAGTTCAACATAACTCAGTCTGCATATTTTTGTATTATAAAAGAAAAAGTACAAACAGAAAAAGAGAAAAGAGTTATTTTAATGTGTCAAGTGAGCAATATACATTTGTAATATAATGAATGCCAGGGTACAGGCTGTTAAATCATTTTCTTTAAGGGTGTTGCCAAAACAAATCTGTAGTTTTTTCAATTCTGTGGTCCTTTGTTATTTGGTAGACGTTCATAGAAAACACACTGAGGGTTAGAAAAATTTATATCTGAGGAATGAAGTGGTTGACATCACTGATGATTATGATAACCAGAAATGACCTTTAGCCAATGAGATGGTTTATTCTGACAAAGTCATATGCAGAGGGGCATTGACAAAGCAGGTTTACTGGTGAACCCCCGAAGGCTGTGTGTGACCTTGGAACTGCGCTCTTGGCAGAGCTGCAAGCTTGCACACATTCTTATGCTGCCATCAAAACAGCTTAAAAATTGCAACCTACAAAGAACTTTGGTATAAGCCAAAAAGGTGGGCCAGAGGACTTTTTCTTAGTGCAATGAGCTGACTATTTTGAGGGCTACAGTGTGTGTGGGGGGGGGGGGGGGGGGGAGAATGACACTGATAAAATCGAGCTTTCTGTGCCCAGGCCCTGACCACATATTAGGATCATAGATAGTGTGAACCAAGCTTTCTCTGGTACTAAAGTGATTGGAGCAGAGAATTCAGATTCCAGAAAACAGATGCCAAAGCAATTTTTTTTAGTGTCATCATTATGCACAAGGTCATTTCAGCTACCTCAAACTTAACTCTCTCCCCAGTAGGCATGATGGAAGCACATATGCACATACTTTGGCAACAAACAGTTTTAAGGATGGTGGGGCAGAGGGAAAGAGAAGCTTGAAATCATAATAAGGGTATAGACCAGCCTTCCAAAACCTAGTGCCCTCCAACTCTCCTTAGCTCCAGTGAGCATGGCCAATAGTAAGCAAACCTGGAAATTGTTGTTTAAAACATCTGGAGGGCACCTGGTTGGGGATGGGTAGATTCTCTTTTACGCTTACAACCCCTCACATTTTATGCCTTCAATACTGATACCCTGGCATTCAAATTTAAAAACAGAGCAATGACCCGTCAGTCATGAAGAAGCCTCTACCGAATGGGTGGGATGGGAGACTAAACTATAGTGGGGATAATGCTAACCCTAAATGCATTATAAAGCCATTCCTATGTAAGGAACAGCAAGTTCCAATTTCCCTTGGGGGGGGGTGATGGACGGTTTACAAGCTTGTAAACTGTACAGGACCACAGTCTTACAGGTCAGAGCACACAAGCATGAAATACTTGTGCATACAACAATATATACATGATTTAAAAGATGCCAAGGGGCCATTCACATAACACATACTGTATCATGTTGACACAAATTCACTGGGAAAGATAAGCCAGAGATTTGGCCTGAGGTGTCAGTGTGAGCTTAGGTGGACTCTGGGGGACAGCGGAGGACAGGGAGGTCTGGAGGAATGTTGTCCATGGGGTCGCGATGGGTCGGCCGCAGCTTTGCGACTAGCATAGCATAGTCACCTCTACACAGATGACACCCAGATTCGTCTTGTTAATCAGACATAGGAAACGTGGTGGTACATGGCCTGAAGCCTGTTCTGGATGGCGTTATACCTCTCCAAAGGATCAGATGCACAAAATCGAAATGCTTCTAGCACTGCTGTGAATAGCACAAGTGACCTCTGTTGCTCCAAGCACCTTTTTCCTCAGCTTCAGACTAACCAGAATGGAAACAGCCTGGCCATTGTTATTCCTACTGAAGCACACTCCCATTTAGACAATTGCAATACACAGCATGTTTCTAAAATTGTTTAGAAACTGGAGTTGGTCCAGAATAGGACGGGCAACTCGAACATAAGTTTGCACTCTGCTGACTGCACAGGCTCTTAGTTCGGTCTTAGGACCAATTTAAAATGCTGGTTCTAACCTTTAAAGCACTAAATGGCTTGGGGACCAGACCAAGCTACCAGAAACGCAGCCTTCTTCCATATACCTACCTTAAACCTTAAGATCTTCAGAGACCCTGCTTGGAATACTACTCCAAAAGAGGTGAGACAAGGGACCACTAGGGGGAGAGCCAGTTTGACAGTGAAATCCTGGTTTTATTATTTTTTTCTTTCGTTACTGCTTGTATACTGCATTTCACTGTTCTATTTGTTTGCAAGCTGCCCAATTTCTCCTAAGCAGAGAGTATATACATAAGAGGAGAAAGCCCATGTAAATGTCCTATGATCTCAGCCAATATACACACAAGCAGCTGTTGCCTTGAGTGAACTATTCGTAAAACTGGGTCTGCAACAACACCCCTTGCTCCTCTTTGTGAATGGCTCCTTGGCAAACTCCAAGGTAAGCATTACAACCGCAGAAACTTGATCATTATTTTGATTTATTCTCCAAAAAATTCTCATTTGCACCATACTGTCATTAACAGCCATGACAAAGCTGTCGATGGACCAGGATTTTTACCTCAGCAACCTTGAGAAACTCAGAAATCCTTGTCATTCTGGTCAGAAACTTCTTGTATATATCAAGGCCTTCTTTGCATTGATTCTTTTTCATGTCAAAGTATTTTTCTGCAAAAAAAGAATTTAGAAGTGACAGCATTCAAGATAACTTATTTCCTGTTTACAGCTTACAGAAGTAACACACATTAAGCCACGTTCAGGAATGAATATATAGCCACTCCAAATTAAGAAACAGTGGGAAGTTCACAGATGGAATTAAATTTAGATTCCTAAAATTGTTAAGGTTTTTAGTATTCAAACAGCAAAGTGAAAATCTGCTTTAGTAAGGGTACTATTTAAGTTCCTCTAAAAAAAGTTAGTGAAAGCATCCTTGTGCACATGGATATACCCCTAAACCAAAAACCAACTCCTCTTACACAAGGTGCCACTTTTCCCTGAGGCTGGCAGGTTGGAAACAAAAAAATGGCCACAAGGAAATTCCTTCAAGTCTGGAAATCTATTTTACGGTGAATTCACAAAGTATAGAAGGTGGCAGCACCCAAGAGAATAAGCTATCCTGAACAGAACTGATCAACATCAAATTGTGGAACAAAACCACTGAATGTGGATAATCACCTGGTTATATTCTAAATGTTCCCTATTTTTACTCAACTTCTTGTTTTTACCTTTACAGATAAGAAGTGTTAACATTCATTGCACTGCACTGAATGGATTATGATCAGCCGTCTCCAACATGGTGCGGAACAGGGCTTCCCAGAAAGATGCTCACAAAGTAAAACAACAAACAAGAAACTCTTCACTCTCCATCCCTTTAAAGTATTATTTTTAACTAAAAACTTGGGGCAAAGTTGTTTCTAAGCCCCTTCCCAATCTCCTTCCACCCACAAAGATCTTTCCCTCTTCTCTTTATTTCAAGTCCTAGCTTCTTGATCCACTGTTCCCCTCCCCACAACCATTTTCCTTCCTATTATTCTGTTTTCTTTCTGTCCTTAGCCTTGCTCTGCCTTTCTCACTCACCCCATTTCCTTGTCTTTTTTCCACTCCAAGCTTCTAGCTTTGCCCAATCTCCTCAACCATGTTATTTCCTGACCACCACCTATAGCCTCTTTCTCCCCCATCTTTTTAACCCCGTGTTTCTCTGATCCCAGATTTGTTCTTGCTATTTCACCATCCCTGCCACTCCCATGTTTTGTCCTGATGTTTCTTCCTCCTGAGTTCCTATCCTTATTCTTTTTATCTTCCTTCCATCCCTGATAGAACAAGAGATGGGAGAGCCAGGCAGTGAACAGAGTGCCAGAGTCTGGAGTCAAGACAGTGAACTAGGGGAAAATGTATGTTTAACTAGGATAAGCCCAGCAAACTTAAGTAGGTTCATCCTAAGTAATTCCCATAAAAGAAATCACAGGACTGCAACCATAAATGCAGTTTGTTTATTACTTGTCCTTCTATGGTGTTACAATACATGGATGTGGAGTCAGTTTGGAAATCAGACCTTTCTTCTGCTTGTACTTACTTTCTTGGATGAGTTACTTGTCTTTTAACTAGCCAGGCCCCTTTGACTGCCATTATGTAACTAGGCAGAAAATTGACATATTGTGGTTGAAAAATTACAGTAATTTCCCCAAATTTCCAAATGTGTCCATGAGTTCAAAATAGTTGGCGAACCCTGATGTACAAGAATGGGCAGAACTAGAAAATCTGTTCTCATAAAGGACAACTCTCCAGTCAAGCTCATGCATCACATTTTCAGAAGTGTTCTACACTGTTATTAAGAAAACTTGGTATCCCATGTCTTGCTGCATTTAAAACAATGGTGCCTATTTTACATTGAAAGAATCATCCGTATTAAGAGCAATCCATGGGAAACAGCATGTCTTGTAGGTAGGTTTTCACTTCTCTCTCTTGTTGAACTAGCTCTCTTTTTTCACTGACTTCTTTCTAATTCTGGTAATAGCAATCCACCAGAGCAATGAAGTTAATGACACATCACTGGAAAGGCCACAGTGTACCCAACACATCTCTGCCCAAAGAAATTTAATAAATGAAGAACTTGAAAGCCCTACTGGACTGAATCAAACATCTATGCAGCCTTCCTGACACGTTTGGACTGCAACACCCAGAATTCCCAGTCAATAGCCTTGCTGGATGGGAATTCTGGGAGTTGCCACTCAAATTTTATTTATTTATTTAAAGCTTTTCTATACCATCCTCTTACCAAAAGTCTCAGGATGGTCTTACAATAAAGCAAAGTAAAGCACAGCATTGTCTTCTATAAAACCCCATTTAAAATAACAATTTAAACATTAAAATACTGGGAAAATAAAAAGGGTTTGGCCTGGTGCCAAAAAGAATAAAGTGTCAACACCAACCAAACCTCTCTGGGGAGCATATTTCATAACCAGGGCTCCAGCACAGAGAAGGCCCTTCTCTGAGTAGGCACTCTCCTAATCTTGTTTGAAGAGGGCTCCCGAAAAAGGACCTTTGACCCAGATCTTAAGGGACGGGCAGGCACAAATGCCTTTGAAGGCCACCAGGTTGGGGAAGGCTGAATTATCTAGTCCTGCATTCTGTTCCCCATGGTGACCAGATAAATGCTTCTATGAAGCCCACAAGCAGTACATCTATACTTTATTTATATCCTGCCTTTTTTCCTTTGGGGTACTCAAGGCAGCTTCCATTATTCTCCTCCTCCTCTCATTCTTATCCTGACAATAACCCTCTCAAGTAGGCGAGGCTGACAGCCTGGGAAAGGCCCAAAGTCACCCAGTGAGCTCCATGGCTGAATGGGAACTAGAACCCAGATCTCCTGTGTTCCAGTACCATACTTTTAACTTTGACAGCATCTTGCCAGGCAGAATCACTGCAGTGAGAGTCAGTATTAGTATGTCCAAATGCATATAGCAGCCATGTTGGCTGCGGGATGCAGTCCAACAAATCTGGAAAGCACCAGATCAGAGAAGGCTGGCTTAAGCAAATGCTACACACTCCCAGTTTCTGCCTTTCACACTGCCGTGGATCCAGATTTGGTCGTCCACAGAGTGAACAAAAAACCACTGAGAAATCAATGGGCCTCTCTAAGCATGACTAAGTCTGGATCCAACCCCATGCGTGGGATAAGTCCTAGGCAAAAAGAAGGAAAAACGGGCCTCAAGTGTTGGCAGGTACCAATGAATGAATGAATGGAGAGAATCAATTTGACAAATGTAATTTATGACAATCCTGAAGTCAGTGTGCTAAAGAGTAAATCTCTCAACAAAATATGCCTCCTTTCCCAAATACTATTCAAGCACATAAGTATCAGCTTTGCAGTTAGACTATGTGTGGTAGTTGGACATGAAGAAAATTATAGTTCAAGGAAATAACTGCTTGTATTTAGGCATTTTTCTATTTACATGTAAAGAAAACCAATTCTTAAAATGCAGTCTAAAATTGTCTTGCAGGAAATAAAAATAAAGATTACTGTCTTGTTCACTAAGTAGAAGGAAGAGATGTAACAGAGGAAGTATTTACCCAACAGGTTAATAATCCCTTCATTATAGGCTGCAAAGAGTCTAATGGCATCTTTGAAGAGAAGCATGAAGGCAGCGTTAATTACACCATTTGTAAGTTCATTGCTGTTGACCTGCCAAGAACAAGAAAGGAAGTTAGTTGAACTGGAAAAACACCCACAGCTGTCTTCTGTTACAATATTCAGGACAGAGACCCTTGCCTTTTGACACACTGAACTATAAATCTGTGACATCAGAGACTACAGAAATAAAAAGGAACTCCTCCGCTTCAAGAACTCCGCAGAGGTCACACATGCCTAAGAAGCAACTCATCGGAAGACAAGTGCCAAGATGGTCACTCCAGTGAACAATGATGGATTTAGCATCCAAGTGTCTAAGGGCTGGGAATGTTGTTGCTGTCATTAGCACCCCTGTGATTTAAGTAGTCTCTAACTTAAGTGCTGCACTTGGTAGCAAACCGACTATCACCATTAACACCGAAATTTTAATGGGAAAAGTTTGTATATAACAAAATATATTTCAGTTCTGATGTTTCACAATTCTGCTTTCCACAGCAAGCGTTTCACCTGTGATAGGAGGTCCCATTTTCTCTCCAGCCTGGAGTCAGGGAAGGAGTAAGGCCTGTCTGCCACAGCTGAGCTTACCTGCCAATGGCACTGTGGAACTATGTGGGAGACTCCTGGCCCCTTGTCAAGCTGCATACTGGAAAAGGCTGGTCTTGCCATTCTGACACTCAACAGCGGACAGCACTGCTGCCCAATGCCAACTAAATCCAGGATTTCCCTCTAAGTATGGATGGAAAGGTTGGAGATGGACAATTGGTCCACAGATCATTTCAGCTGCTCAACGGCAAGGCAAGATCCAGAAATCCTCCCCAGTTCCAAGCTGGGAGTTGGAGAGAGAAGGGCAGGAATAATCCCAACAGGCACTCTAGGCTTCAAAGGGTCTCCAGTAACTACTCCAATTGTAGGGACTGTATGTGCACATACACACACAGACAACTGACAACTTTGCCTGATAATAATCCTACATACAGTCATTTGGGAGCAAGTCCTGCTGAACAGTGGAATTTACTTGCAATTAAGACATGTACAAGATTCCACTGAAAGGAAGGAGTAAAGTCTTAGCAACACTAAGTTGGGTTTGACTACCAAGGCCAATTAAGATTTGTAGACTGCTGCTCAATTCAGAAATCATCAGCATCTCCTCCTCCTCCTCCTCCTGTCAAGCCATGCTTAAGGAAGCTTAAGCAGCAATTAAGCCACAGTTCGTCCATAAAATCTGGAAACTCAAACTACAGGCTGAATTCAGAACAATGCCGTGGCAAACCATGATTTAGTATGATGTTTAAGCAGACCCACTAACACTTCCTGACATACTGCTCATGTAAGGCCCTGTCTTTTAGAATATAGAAGCAGGCCTGATGTATGTCCAGATACATGTCACAAATACATGCAGCTCATCCCACATGCACAAACATGTTGATTTGGAATAGGTACCACCTACAATATAGTTTAAATTCAACAGTTTATCCATAGGAGAGCACCAAAAAGCTGAAACAAATCCAACCTTTAGGTATCACCATCATCCACTGCAATTCTATACCACCCCACAGCCAAAGCTCTCTGGGGGGTTTACACAATCCAGAGAAACAAATGATAGAAATCCAGTCAAAATCAGAATAAAAAGCATTAGAAAGTTTAAAACGGCTAAAACAGATAAAAAGCAAACAATACTAACAACAAAAAGAGAGACTCTGTAATACCTTTTAATCCTCCTCAAGCCCCTGGGTGGCTGAATAAATCCTTTAAAGCCTCGGAAAAGAGGGCTGTCTTGACCAGGCATCAAAAAGTTGACTGATCTAGTGCCAGCCAGGACACAGTGGGGAGGTTATTCCAAAGATGGGGGGCCACCACTGAGAGAGCCCTTCCCTAGTAGCTACCCTTCAGACTCAGAGGAAGCGCCCAGAGGTTGAGCCTGAGTAGACGTCTGAGTAGATCAGGGTTGGGAGAGGCACTCTGACAGGTAGTGTGGTCCTAAGCCATGTGGGGCTTTATAAGTTAAAACCAAAATCCAAAATCTCTACCCAAGAACAAGAAGATGTTTATTAGGCATTAAGTGGACATGATTTAAGAAACCTCAACTAAGCAGTCTCAGCAAGTTTGGAATAACTTCCCTGACTTTAAAAGGCAATTCTAGCAGATGTGTGAAATTTGTAACCCTCCAGATAGTTTGCTTCACAACTCCCATTATTCCGCACCACTGGCCATAGGACAAAACACTTGGAGGGCCACAATTTACCCACCCTAAATAGTCTTAGTCGATGAAGAAACCAGAAAGAAAACTTACATTGAAATCAAGAAGTGCATCCATCTGATTTTGTATAATTGGTACAGTTTTTAAGAGTTTCTCTGTATTCATGGTTCTCATGACTCCGTCAGCTCTAAAAGAAAGGGACATGAGAAAAATATTAGTAAACAAAATATTTTTGGCATGATCTACTTACTGTAAGGAGACACAGATAATTCTTCTACAGGTCAGCAGAGTCCTGCTTTTCTCCCCTCTCTCCCCACTACCCTGTGCATCCATGCACATAAGCAGTGTATCAGGCCACTAGCAATAACTGAGGTTCTGTCATCAGGTGTCCTTATTGGCCTGATGCAGGTCACTCACAAAAGACGCTTGCCGCAATAGAATGAGGAGGGCTAGACAGAGGTACATGGAGACACGGGCGTGTTTCTCATTATCTTTAGCCATCCATCACATTTCTCATGAGCAAATGGGGAGGAAAGAGGGGGGGAAACAAATCTAGATGGAAGCAACCCTAGTTTTCAACCAGCCAGCAGCATCTCAGCCTACTTTTAAGTTCACAAAGAACAGCAACAGCCAAAAAAGTGGGGGGTTTAGGACTGGAGAAGCCTTTTATCAGAATTGCAGTTGATAAAATAAGAAATTCATTAACCAAGCAAAACTATCTTCTGTAGCCCCTGCTACAGTCAGTGCTTGCAGAACCACCTCCGAGAATTAAACTACTTCCTAGAAAAGTAACTCAGAAGATACTCAGTATTCATATTAGTAACACAGGGAAAATCCTAATCTGTTAACCTAAGTTTGAAGTTTTATGATGCAATTGTAAAGTGCTTAAATACTCTACAAAATAAAAAATAGGAGAATTCTACTGTCTATTCTGCTTTGCAAACTTTAGTGTAAGTGCTGTCAGCTTTTTGTTTTCCTGAAGAATTTAGACCTACATTTTTTCCAGCGTAATATGCATTATGTCCACAACAAGTCACAAGAAAAAAATTTCATCTAAGCAGATTCATTAGAAATTTCTCACCATTAAAAATTTTCAATATATATCCCACCTGTACAATATCAAGCAAAGCCCACATGCCAAGTCTGCAAATACCTTATAATGAGAAGAGCTTTAAACTAAATACTACTTCTTAGGCTAACGTTCTTTAAATCAAACATTACTGTCTTTTTGATTCAGATCTATCACGGTTTATTTTAATTACTTTAGCAGTGGTGCAGCCTTCCAGATGTTCTGGCTTCCCTCAACCCTACCCAGCAGAGCCCTACCCAGCGAGAGAAGAGTTGCAGGGCAAAACATCTGGACAGCCACAAGTTGCCCATTAGCGGCATATGCACAGCTGCTAATGAAAATATAAAATCACTAGCTGCATTTTCATTACATAGCACTTGCACTTCTTTGGTACAGATAAAACAAAACAGTGGAGCATTCAGACCAACACTGAAGTCAAAGGACAAAATGGAGTTAAGACAACCTTTAGTCCATGTGAAAAGGAGGTCTTCAGCTATGAACAGCAAAACAAGGCCATAATAAGTACAGGTTAGGGGACAAGTGGCTGGAGAGCAGCACTTGTGAAAGGGACCTTGGGGTGCTGGTTGACTGCAGACTAAACATGAGTCAGCAGTGTGGTGCGGTGGTCAAGAGGGCGAACGCCACCCTTGGTTGCACAGCCAGAAGCATGGCTTCTGGATCAAGAGAGGTATTACTACCACTCTATACGACTCTGGTGCGCCCGCAACTGGAGCACTGTGCTCAGTTTTGGACCCCTCATTACAGGAAGGATATAGCCAGGTTAGAGTCAGTGCAGCGTAGGGCCACAAGGTTGGTGGCCGGTTTTCAGGGGATGGGGTATGAGGCGAGACTGAGGGAACTGGGTCTCTTCAGCCTGGAGGAGACTCAGAGGGGATATGTTGGCGACATACAGGTATGTGAGGGGATGTCACATAGAGATGGGTAGAGACCTGTTCTCCCCTGCAGAGGAAGGCAGGACACGCTCCAACGGAGCCAAGCTCAGGGAACCCAGGTTCCGTTTGGATGCCAGGAAGCATTTCCTGACAGTTAGGACCCCGAGGGTGTGGCATGGGCTTCCACAGGAGGAGGTTGAGGCCCCATCGGTGAGGGTGTTCAAAGATAGGCTGGACGTGCACATGGTGGGCATGTCGTGAGCGGAGCTGGCTGGTGCTGGAGGTCAGACTAGATGGCCCGGGAGACCCCTTCTCACTCGCTCTGTTTCTATGTTTCTAATAAGGACAAGAGCAAAGCTACTGTTGGTAGCTTCTATCTGGCCAGGGTGACTTCTTTTATAATGTTATTTCTTTTATATTGTTATTTTTATATTGTTGGTTTTGTACTTTATCTTATGTTGTGAGCCGCCCCAAGGCTTCGGCGAATGGGGCGGCATAGAAATGTTTAAATAAATAAATAAATAAATAAATAAATAAATAAAATATCCCAAGGACACCAGATGCCACACTACTGCTCTGAGGCCACTGGCTATTGGGTACAGTGGGTATATAAACCCACCAAATTCAAAGGCATGAAACTAGCTGCTAAAGAACAGCAGCAGGAAAGGGCAGTTTGCCTCCATATATAGCTTAAGGAGTTTCCAGAAGCATCTGATTTGCCACAGGCTGCCTGAGTCAAGAGATCCAGCAAGGCCGTTCTATATTCACAGCAACAATGCTTCTCAAACTTCCCATCATTTCAAGCAAGACGGTGTGAAGCAGCATGGCTCTCAAGTTACACAAGTCCAACACTTCCTTGGGCTGCAGTATTAGTCACACACTTATTTGGCTCCAGTCTTAAATGATTACAGATACAAGACTAATGATGACTCTAGATGGGAGCTTGGCAATGAGGAGCCTCCTAACCTTTTTGTGCAAGGAGGGACATCTGGCAGTTCAAAAAAGGACTCTGTACACAACGCAAGTTGAATGCTGGGGGAAGTCAACCACAAAAACGATAGGAGCACCCTCCCCATTATCTGTTCTTGTGTTGCATGACTGTACACCAGCTCCCCACAGCATGGGTCCTCTTACCTTCTCTTAGAGCCCTCCTTCCTTCTGTCTCTCTAGCTTACCCCCACCCCATCTCAGCTGCTCTCTCTCTCTTGCTCTTCCTCCTCCCTCCTCCAGCTCCTCTTTCTTACCACAGCTCTGGTTCCCCTCCTTTTCCCTGTTGCACCAAAGCTCCTTGGTAGGAGGTGGAATTTACTCAAGAACAGCTGGATTGGGAATAAAGCGGACTTCCCTGTTCCCATACAAGTGAATGGAAGAATTGTTCCATTCACTTCCAGAGGGAAGAAATACCATGGCATCTGGCTCGTGGATTGTACAATGGAGACTCCTTTGGGGCGGGGGGGACAGTTGAAATTCCATAGAAATGCAAACATCAAAAGGCAGTTATGACAAAAAGAAAAAAATCCCTTTAGGAATGCTTGCCTTCTTATCCCAGTCCATCCTGGGCATCAATATTAAAAAAACAAATGAAACACACCTAGGGATCAGAGATCAATTTTTATTTTAAGAATTATATTTCTTAATATGTTTTCTATTATCATCCTTTTTCCTCAACAGGCATCAGCCAAAAAAGCCTTCCTGCTAGCCTGAAGTAACCCCCGCAACTCCCACCTCCAAAGAACACAGAATCAGCATGGGCATGCTTTGACAAAACATGTGTTACTGAAGCCTCACTATTCTAAATGGTCGTGCCAGATATTTGGTTCAGGCACTCTATCAATCCAGTGAACTTGCAACCTTTTTGCTTTCCCAAAATAAAGCATGCATGCACACACACTTCTCTGGAGGGAGGGGAAAAACCCCCACTGCCTGGGAATGAAATCATTACCAAGCAGAACACAAAGTACAGTGGTTATTTAAAGTATTTCTAGGCTGCCTTTCAGGACAAGTCCTCTCTTGGGTGCACACATAATCAGGCTGTAACCTTATCTGCTGGTTAATTATTTCCTTCAAGTTGCATTTTTATATCTTAAAAACCCTACGTATTTGGAACAGAAATTATGAACAAGCTAGATCTTTAAATGAATGGTTCCCACTAGTGAGATTCTTACCCTCTTTTTACTTTTGTGAAGTCAAAAGCAACTTGTCTGTAAGAAACTGCTTTTTCATTCAAATATCTGCTATACCGCCTGATAAATGTAGACATATCATACCCTAAAGAAGGGAAAGACAAAACAAGTTAAGCCCCTGTTGTCTGTGCAAGTTTTATAAACATTAGAAAGGTATACTATAGAATTAATATAAAGACTCATCAATTACTTTATAAAAGGGCAAAATCTCTGAATTGCTGTAAAATAAGTTGAGGCAAATAACCACAGAAATATCCAAGTATGGATGTCAGAGACATTTGCAATGAACTTAAATGAGTTCAAACTTCTAAGAATCCAACCCAAAGATTCTATGGTCTTGTATTTTTATTTTACGTAATTTATGCAAATTTAGTTGTTGAAAAATATGAAAGTGTGCATTTCCCCCATAAGCTGAAATTTGAGACTACACATTTTTCAAGCATTTATGAATTCTGTAGTGGATCCCTACATTTTCTAAATGGTGAACTTGAGCAAATGAATACAAATGAGTTTATGCAAGATCCAATGCAGTCAATGAATTGGAACAAAAGGTGTCTAGCAATCCAGAAAACATAGATGAAACAGATTTTCCACAGTCTTTACACCTCTGCATCTGAGAGATGCTTCAAACAATTATGCCATGTCTTGAGTTTCTAGCTTTCCCCCATTTCCCTTGTCCAAATTAGAACTTGCACATTTATACCATACCCACAATCCCAAACTAACAGATCAGAGTGTGTGTACTAGATTGGTTGGCTTAAACATGCACAAGAACAACATCTATGCCTTCTCCTTATTAATGTTAACTCCACAACATTCTGGGGAGAAAAGAGATAATATTACTATCCTAATGTATCCTGATCTACAGGATGTCATATAGAACAGTTCAAATATTGTTTAACATGCAGAGAGCTGTGGTACTCAAAGACTACACTGCTTGGAATGGCAACTTAGCTCTAAAGATATAATACTATGATACAAGTTGTTTGAAAACAAATCACCAGGTTAACAACAAATCAAGTTTACCTTGCAATCCACTTTTGTCCAAAAAATTGCTCAGGTTAAACAATGTGTTTCTGGAAGCCAGATACTGGATAAAGCGCTGAAAGCAATTAAGATAACTGTATTATTTGGCTGAAGTATAAGACCTCAATGTACTAATCAAGCCAGGACAAAAAATGATCTAACTGAGCATTCCTAGTAGAATCATGTCTATCACTGTACAGAGAACAGGCCTGTTCATGAGCAGCTATTTCAACCCCACCCCAAGAGAAAATAGCGGAAAAGAAAATGCCTCCAAGGCACAGTAGCCTGCTACTTTTCATCCAGAAACCACCTTCTGCCATCTCAACTTCATATACTTCTCTGCACAAGCAAGAACTGTTACGGCTAAAGAGCTGACACTCACATCAGTTGTCCCAAGACTATGCAATAATAGCTCCTCCTGTACATTTCCCCTTCCTTATTGGTTTTTGAAGGGGCTGTAAAGCATACTTATTTAACCTTGTTTTTAGTCTGGCTACTTTGTTAATGTTGTTTCCTGGATTGTTCTTTCCTGTTGTTTCTAATGCACTTATTTCAGTAATTATTATATGCTACCTTGCGCTTTGGAAAGGAAACTAGAAATATTTCAATTGAGTCATGGTCTCAAACCTGAGACAAGGAAGCTTAATTATTGGCATTATCTGTGAACGGACAAATCACAGTTTGCAGACAGGAGTCAAATCAGAATCAGAGCAGATGGTTTGCCATTCGGTCTGAATGATGGTTTTCAGGTATCTCCCAAGAGATAATGTCAATTTATGTAGCATATAACCAAAAATAAAAGCTGATAACCAGTTTGTGTCTGCATATGAAAAAACCACACAAGGGATGCTGTCCAAACCCCACCCCCTTTTTGGCTCATACTTTCCCATGTTCCCAAGCACCTAGAATACTTGGAACAAATGGGAAAGTGAGAGCACCTTTAAGACAATTGGGGGTGTGGGGGGGAGATGAGCTTTCCATGAAAGGAGTGAACTCTCACCACCTCTTTTTCATGAGTGCAGATCATTTGAGAATTTGTTTTGGTTAGGCAGATCACCTTCTGACAGCTGTAGAAGTTATTTGGAGCTTCTTTGAATCAATATCCAGAGTTAGTACCTTCTGCACTTTGCTAGCAGGTACCTCCTTGGCCATTGCCCAGGTGAAGCTGCTCATTGTCAGACATCAAAAAAGGGGGGAGGGTGGAATATTTGTGCACAGTAGGAGGTTCCCCCAAAAATTAGTTTATACTTTACTAATTTATGATTAATTTACACAGCCCCTCCAAAGTACTCCAAGAGCCGGTCACTGGGGTTTCTGAAAGCCTGCTGTGAAATTAGTGATCCTGATCTCCAAAGGGTGGGATGGGGGATCTGTGGCAATCCATAAATAGCTCACAACTGCAACAGGGAGGATATGCTGGTCTTCCCACAACATTCCCTGGGGAATCCATTTGAAACTACTCAAGTGCACACTGTGGGCTGTTCACAGAATCCACCCACCCACAGCAGCTTATTGCTTGGATGGGTAGGCATGATGCGCAAATGCAAACTTTGGCTTGGTATGATGTTCAAACCAATCAATGCAGCCTAGCTGTTTACCTTCCATTGTGTCATGTGTTTGTGTGCAGCCAGGCCAGAGTGCTTGACAGTTTCTCCTGAGCAGGCTTTGTGAAAAAGCCAGGACACATTTTGGTAAGATACAAAATTTGAAAGGTAAGAAATCCTAAAGGCTAAATTTCAGTAATATGGAAATACGTTCATGATTTATCAGAGGGTGGGTGGATTGCATAAATAAAGACTTTTGCTTTGTGTACTTGGTTTGGACAGTTTGAGAACAATTGCAATGTTGATCCGAAACAAGAGAGAATCTATAGCTAATTTTAGATGACAACTTTTTAACACCTGAACCACCCAAGCTGGTGGGACAGCAAGCAGAGACCTTTAGTCAAGAATACCAGCAGAGAGTCTATTGGCACACCTCAGACAGTGCAGCAAAATGTGTTTTGTTTGGCAGTCTGTAAAAGCAAAAGGCACGTTCCATTCCACTTGGATCTCATTTCAACAATGAAACTTGATCATTACAACACTGTTCTACTCAGAAGAGTGAACAGGATTACATGCACTTAAGGAAAGCCAAACTGTCAACAAGGAGGTGGAGGGTGGGGGTGGGGAATCCACGGGGGGAGGGGTGGTGCGGTTTAGGAGCACTCAACTTGCCAGCTGTGGCCCACGTCCCCAGGACTTACCAACAGCTGCTCACCTGCCTGCCCACTGCTGACACCGCGCCACACTGTAAGAGCCCCAGGTGAAGCTGCCACCACTGACGAAGCCTGCGCCCGGCTCCTCCCCACAGTGTCCTGCGCTCCCTAGCTCCTGTGCATCTCCCCCCACCCCGCAGCAACGATGCCTGTGAGAGGGGTCGAGGGCAGGGGGCATCCACAGGGGGAGGCAACAGAGCACAACTCACCAGTCATGGCCTAGGCTGTTCAGGGTTGGGTTGCGTCTGGGACTCTGGTGGTTTGCACTCTGGGGGTAGGTTAGGTTGGATAATTTCTATTTATTTTTATTTATTGTTATAGTTGTTTTATATAGGGCCAGTGGCATCTCTGCAGAAGGACTCTGATTGTTTTAATTACACAGCATCCAGCCTGGGTAGTTAATTTATATTGTATTTTATTTGGGTTTTAACAGTTATGGGAGGGTTTCTGGGGAGTGGATGGGCACCCCCATTGGGGTGAGCATGGGCAAGGGAAGATATGGTGCTGGGGGTATGACATGTCAGTACAGAAGAAGGGGGGGGTACAGAAGAAGCTGCTCTGACCGGGGCAGCTCAGGACTTCATGGCCACAATGACAACCATGCGGCTGTCTCAACAGGTCATTGGCCCAATGCATGAAGGTCACACTCTAGACCTGGTTTTCTCAATGGGGCAGGAAGATGGTGATCTGGAAGTGAGGAACTTGACTCTAACCCCATTGTCATGGCCAGATCATGTCCTCGTGAGGTTTGAACTCAGGGCCAGTTTCTCTGTCTGCAAGGGTGCAGACCCTGTTAAGATGGTCCACCCTTGGAATCTTCTGGTGGATTTTCTGGTTGATAAAGCTGGTGCTGTCGATGCCTGGGCTGATTTGTGGAATGGGGAAATGACCCGAGCAATTGATACGATCACTCCTAAACGTCCTCTCCTGTCATGCAGAGTCCACTTAGCACCGTGGTATTTGCCTGAGTTGTGGGCAATGAGGCAGGCTGGGAGACAACTAGAGCAGAGGTAGAGGAAATCCTGTGGATGCATGAAGGAGTGCATTCTTCCCTATATGCCCCCTCACCCCTTTGAGATCTGAGGCAGAGGTCCTTCTTCGAGAGCCCTCACTGAAAGAGATTAGGAGGGTGGTTACCCAGAGGAGGGCCTTCTCTGCAGTGGTGCCCCAATTATGGAATGCACTCCCCAGGGAAGTTTGCCTGGTGCCAACACTTTTCTTTTCAACGCCAGGCAAAATCCTTTTTATTTTCCTGTTGTTTTAATGTTTAATCAGTTTTAATGCGGTTTCATATTCTTGAATTACTAGGTGCTGTGCCATTTTATCTGTTGGTTGTTGTAAACCATCCCAAGATGCCAGTAGATGGATGGTCTATAAAAACTTTGAACGAACAAACAAACGATTTAACCATGCAGTATATGATGCACACCTCGGATGATTCACTTAACTCCTATTCATTCCTTAGCTTTGGGCAGCCCACAGCTTCCTTTTCCCTCACTGATCAAACACTCAGCAATGCCATTGACATGAAGTGCACAGTATAAATAAAGCTTTTGTAGTAACACAGCATGAGGTAAGGGACAGCTTTAAAGATAAGATCTTGACTATATTTCACATGGTTCTGTGGCACCACTGTATGGGCATCATTGAACCAATAAAATGCAAAAGTATTCTTCCTGTTCCCAGACGATTATCCCCAGAAGATTTCTCCCTAGATATAGCCACACCCATGATAACACAGATCTGCCCAAATATAGTAAAGTCTGAAGCACTGGATTTAAGCTTAGATACTAAAAAGAAAAGTTAAGAGTTTATACCATTTAAATGTTTTCTACCATACAAAACTGGAACTAAACAGAGGTTGAGGAGTGGGGACAGAAATAAATACATTTTGTCAGTTCAGCTTTTATAATGATATGTTATACTTACATAAAGACAGACAAACACCCACACACGCCTTTCTCATGGATGTACTTAAATAAAGATTTTGAATGCTTCTCAAGACCCAAAGAATACAAGTACACACAAGGTGCTTCTGCATGTACAGCTTAAGAGCCAACATCTCCTTTCTGGCCGTAACTTTGACAAATTTACCCAATGGCATGTATAAGTACACAGTTTTACCCAAGAGTTTTAAGAAAGTGGCAGGACTTAAAAAAAAAAAGTCTCTTCTAAAACGTGAAAGAATCACTGCTATGCAAAAGTTCATCATATTGTGCTAGGCAGAAGAATGGTCTGACTCTGTATAAGGCAGCTTTACATGTTTATCCATCTATCTTAAGGAAATCTTAGATGTAGCCTTAGAAGAACATGAGGCATAGTTCAAAGAGGAAGATAAGGAAAGTCCCAGTGTGCACTGTAGAACCAGCTGGCCATGCAGGCTGGAAGATTTTCTTGATTCTAGCCACTGATTTCAACTGAAGATTTATTTATTCTTCAAAACAGTTGCCAAAGTAATTTAATTTTATTATATTGTAAGGGAACCACTTTTTCTACAAACATATTGGCAGGAATGGGCTCTCTCTATGCTGTGGCAACAGAATAATAAAGCCAGGGTTGTAAATCTTTCTAGACTGACAATATATAAGCAAACTATGCATCATTATACATATCTTTAAAAGTCCATAATTATTATACATTTTTGTAATTTCTTAGTGTGACCAGTAAAATGGGCAAACTACAGTGGTACCTTGGCTCACAAACTTAATCCGCTCCAGGACTCTGGTCATGACCCAGATTGGTCATGAGCCAAGTTAAATTTCCCCATAAGGTTCAATGTAAATAAGGTTAATTCGTTCTGTAACTATTTTTTAATTGGAAAATTGTAAAGCAAAGTGACAAAGATTGCGGCCATCTCCCCCGCCCCACCCTGAGCACAAGCGCAGCCATCTCACCCCCTCCCCCAGCATGACCACGATCACGCCCCTCATCCCTGCACGTGCCCATCATCCCAGTGCGCTTGGGGGGGGGGAGACGGGTGTGACCACGGGCGTGCTGATGGGGGAGACGGGTGTGAATGTGGGCATGCTGGGGGGGGGGGGAGACGGATGCAATCATGCTGCGGGGGGAGATGGCCAAGATCGCAGTTGCACTCCTGTAGGAAAGACAGGTGCAATCATGGGTGTGTTTGTACAGGAAAGATGCGCACAATCTTGGCCATCTCCCCTCCACCCCCAGCACGATTACAGCCATCTCCCCACTCGGGGGCGGGGGGGAGGTGGCTGCAACTGTGGTCGCCACCCAATGCAGAGTTCATGACCCAAGTCAAAATTTGTATCCGCAACCTGATTTGGTCATGAACTGAGGCGTTCGTGAGCTGAGGTGCCACTGTATACCTTATTGTTGTTCTACTGGCCATGTTCTTGTTTTCCTATAGTTTAATACTGTAGCCATAAAAAGTAACAGAAACACCAGAACTATATATAGTTAAGACCAAGATGGTTGTTTACTTTGAAGCTAATATCCCCAGCAACTTTAGACCAACTTACAAATGTGCCTGTCTTTTGGAAGCTGACTTTACCTTTTGACTTCACATTTCACAGTGTTTTGTCATGGGATGTGAATCAGTTATGCCTTCTTCCTCAACCATGATATTCTCAGACAGTTTTAAGCACCATTAATTATTTCCACTGCAGGACAAAACTCAAGTTACACCAAGAAAGACAAATCTTTAAAGTATTAGTGATTTGCGGTATAATCAGTTACCTCATTTCCATACACCATTAGATGGTGAGTTGTGATGAGGGACTTGAATACCACCACCCAGCTACTGTTCGCTGTCCTTTCAAACAAGCTGTCCGCCAACTGTGGGATATTTACGTTCATCTCGTTTGTGCACTGTATTAAATCTGCAATATAAAGAAATGCTTATTGGTATTTCTAACAAACAAATTCAGGTTCCAATCAATGAGGGAATGTTCTCCAGGTATCTCAGTTTGTAAAACTATACACCGCAGGAATGGGAAAGAAGCAGATGGACTTTTCCAGAACATGGTTTCTAATGATGCCCTGGGAAATCTCAGGAATTCCATGATAAATGCTTAAGAGTTCCTCTACAGCCAAAATACTGTAGGAAAGGTTCTGTGAAGAAAGACAGTGAGGAAGATACAAAACCAAGCAGGCCTGCAAAAATAGCAGAATGATATAAATTCCTGAGCTACTGAAGCTTTTCATTCAGCAAAGAGGGGAGGAGACAAAAGGTTTAATAAAAGTATGGAAAGTATGAAAAATTTATGTTCATTCTCAACCATTATACAATTAAATATCCAATGAAATTGATGGCCCAAAGGTCCAGGAGCAACAAGATGACATTTTTCATACAGCACATAATTACCTTATGGAATTTGTAACATCATTCTTTAAACTTATGCCAACAAAAAGACAAAATAAAGAATTCATGAAAACAATAAAATACAACAAAGGCCTATGGTGACACATCGAAGAGACATAAACTGAAGCTGAGACTTCTTGCACAAGGATCCACCTAGACCCTTCCTATTAAGTGTCCCCCCACTCCCACCCCACACAGAGTTAGACAAGCAGTAAAGCACTAACCTAGGCTGCATCTGCACAATCATCTTAATTTCCCTAGAGTGCTTATGGGGCCAACATGGGATTACACATGGTCCCTGAAGCACTCTGAAGAAATCAGAACAGCCAGGTGCGTCAGCCTGGTCTAACACTGCAGTTCCCAGCATGTCTACCTACTCTGCGGGGGAAAGGAAACCCTCTCTCACTGGGGCTGGTTGAATATAACAGCAGCAAACTGCAGATTAATTAACCACTGATTTGCCATAGTGTGTGCTGGGTGAGTTCTGCAGCCTTTTAAAATATTCAACTCTTGGCTGGGTCTATTGAGGTTGCTATGTGACACCTGAACCTGGACACTGTATATCATCCATTAAAACACTCCCAGTCAAATAACAATTAGTATAAGTTAACCATGGATTGTTTAACCTATGATTAACTTAGACATCTGGTTTGCACTTAACTACAACCTACCGTACAGGCTGAGGGCTTTTTAAAAAAATTATGAAAAACTTGTATCATGCTGTAACTATGGGTTATTCACTAGAAACAACATCTGTACCAAACCTGAAACTGATAACTGGACTTCCAAAGTAAGCAGTAAGAAATTGTTGGCATAAAGCATAAGCTTAAATTCTAAACAATTACTCTGCATTGTCAACCCTCTTCCTTTTACAGCAGGAAAGGAATCCAAGATAATTTCCAATTTCAACCTGCATACAGTGCTGGGAGGGAAAGTAACATCTTTATAAGACCCAATAAGCTTCTCTAACAGTTCTCCAAGCAGTAACTATTATGCACAGCTTCAGTTTCCCACTCAAGTGCTACATAAAATGAGTCATGGTTGGAAACCTATGTGCATACTCCAAAGACCACTTCCAACTAAGCTCTTCCAGATGCAAGCTCTGAATGGAGTATTATGTTACTTATCTGAATACCTGCCTAATGTGTGAAGTGTCTCAGATTTGCTTATTGGTACTGGAACACTGAGAAATAACCCAAAATATGAGACAAATAAAGAAAACCTAAATAAAGGCTTTGACTATTAGAAAGAACAAAGCCAAGTTATTCTGAGAATTTCTCCAAAGTTAGAGACTTTTGTTTGGCAACCATAGAGATAGTTAAGTGATTTAGCAGATTATGAATCTGAAAGCAGCACTGCAGCTATCTAAGTTAGTCATACTGCTGAATTTTAGTTTAATGTGTTTAATGCTACAGAGTCCAGGAAAAAGGGGTGGAAGAGGCAGGGATACAAGTGTGAGCAAACAGCATAAAGAAAAGGCCAATCCTTGGATTTTTTTCCCCTTGCCTGAAGCTTCTATAAATGAAGTCTTTCAGAAATAAAGCCTTAGAAATACTCATTGGAGAGGTATTCACCATTTCCTTAACCAACCCAAATAGTTTCCCACCTCCAGCTTTCATGACTAAATATTAGCATCTGGCTGCTGACAACTGAATTACCTTGCAACAAATCCAACTCCTATTCAGTTTTATAAAAAGATATACTTACTCTATAAATTTTATTTGAAAGACTATAAGCATTTTAACATTTCCAAACTTTTCAGTTTTTTGCCATGGAGTTTTATGTGAGCTGGTTCAAACTGCAGGACTGTAAAATAGGCGGGGTGACCTGAAGCTGTTTGGATTCAATTTTTTTTTGTTCACAGCTATACGGCTTACATCATTCACACCTACAAAAGCACACTGCAGACCAAACACATGCCAAAACTATTAGTTTTGTGCATGGTGTCTGCATATTTTCTGTATTTTCATTGAAGTCTCCCAAGTTTCACTTCATATAATGTTCCCATTCATATCCAATATTATGGAAGTGTTTTCAAAACCTCAATCTCCTATTCTTTTGAAAGGAAACCCTACCACCCCCGCCTCTTTAAATATATCAAGCAAGTGCTTTACATTTCGTAACTTCATAAGACTTCACAGGCAATTTAATAGTTCAACAATAACAGTATATTTCATCTTCCATACCTACTCAGAAAACAAAGATACTGTGATTTCTCTAACTGAAGGCCTAAATTACGTAATACCCATTTTTTTCAAGTTTCAGAGCAGTACGTTTATTACGCTCAACATGAAATTGCTACCTAAATTGGCATCCTGAATAAATTTCTTTCCCACTATTCTTCCTCATTATAGGGTAAATGGTTCCTAGGTCTAAGAGAAAGGCTTTATCTTCTAGATGTGGTTTACGTCCTTTGAAAGATTAGGTACTCCTACATCCACCACGATCATTGGAGGTCCACTGGAGTGCCTTTTAGCAGCTTTAGCCAGTTCACTAGCTCTAATCTGTCCTGGACTGGCATAGCTCAGCTAAAATGGTACCGCAAACTCAAGACTAGATTACTACAATGCACTCTATGTGGGGCTGCCCTTCAGGCTGGTCTGGAAGTGGAAGCTAATGGAGAATTCAACCGCTCAGCTGTTGGCAGGAGCTACCCCTTTTCAGAGTGCAATAACTTTGCTGACAAAACTGCACTAGCTATCCATTCACTATCAGACCACGTTTGTTATTATTGTGTAAAATCCTAAACAGCTTAGTAACAGAATGTTGAGAGAACTCTTTTCCCCGTATCAATCTGCATGTCCACTGGGTCATCAGATGACATGTTTCTGGTGGTTCTACACAGACCTATCAGCCAAATGGAACTCACTCAGAAAGCCTTCAGTGTAGCTGCTCTATTTCTCTTGAACTTCCAGCCTCCAGAAAGTTTTATTCGTTCTGTTGTCATACCTTTTTTATTGTTCACCACTGCAGAATCTGTTTAGAGCAGTATATAAGTGCTATAAATAAAAAGTTTCAACACGTCTACCTACATAGCAATATAAGTATTCTGCTTTATCCAATGATGTGAAACAGCCTGAGCAAGGAACAGCAAAATACAACACTTTACCACAGTTAATTATATCTATGTTACAGGAGGAATTCAGCATAGGAAAGTAGTACTAAATGTTCTGTATAATTATGGTCCAATTTCAAACATGTCCATATATGTGAAACACCTACAAACATTAAGTAAACCTTTCAAATAAAGCATTGCTTCTTGACAAAGTCTTTGAATCGGCACTGCAAGGAGAATATTAAGAATCCATCCCCCATTCACAACTCCAAATAAAATGTGAATGAGAGTACATGTTGTTTGAAAATGTTAGATATACTTTAAAAAGTGTAAGGTTGGAACACAGAGCAGTAGTTGGAAATGTACAAGAAAGTTGTTTCAGTTCACAAATAATTCAAAAATGCTCTATTTACAGTCTTGAAAACAAATGTAAACAGGAGAGCATGTTCTCTGCAACTGTTCACATTTCCTGAATTTGTATTCAAATACTGCACTCCACTCCAAAAATATGCATTTTCATGTTTTGTCAATGGGGAAAGTATATACATTTGAAAAATGTGCATTTTTGCCATTTGCACAAACTTAATAAAACAAGTCACATACATGAGAACAGGAGCAAGCAGAATCAACCTTTGAATGAAGTTAAGAGAATTTTGGTGAACTTGAGCTTCTATGGATCTCCCATTCTTCTTCTTCTTCTTCTTGTTAGTCGCGAAGTTGTATCCGACCCATAGCGACCCCATGGACAACATTCCTCCAGGCCTTCCTGTCCTCCACCATGCCCCAGAGTCTACTTAAGCTCACATTCTACCTGCAGTATTTTGTGCAGAAGATCCTACAAGGCACTAAGGCTTAAACCAAGTAAATCCAAATTCCTTATTTGTCTAGAAAGTACAATATGTACAATGTTTAGTGCATCTGCAAAGTTGATCGTAAGATGGTCTGCCTGACTGTTCCAGAAACTTGATAAAGTCCAAAGCCTGAGTTCTACTTTCATCCAGCATGCCATGCTCTTAGCTCTATTTCCTCCCTTGCTCTGCCCCCCTCCCTCCCTCCCTCCCTCCCTCCCTCCCTCTAATTTTCTCTGCCCCTATCTAAACCACCAAGAATTTGCTAAAGGAGAAAGGCTGGAGAAAGACAGATTGCAAATTCCTTAATTAGGAGCAACACTCAGGGTTACTAGTCTGACAAAAGCAAATACTGTTCATTCCAAGCTTAACACTATCAGCCAACTGCCCCCACAGGTGGTTCACTCCCCTAGAAGAACCTTCCATTAAGTTTAAAAGGTACATCAATCCAGAATGGCAGAGCTCCCCAGAATCTCAGTAATATATTGTACCTGATACAGTAACATACACATTTTAGACATGTGTTGAATATTTACTAGAAATGTGTTGCATAATATATAATATATTAACATATCAGCATATATACTTGATATATTAAGCATATATGTGTTCTCA